TTGGTAACTTTTCTACAATGCATTTCTGGCCAGAAATATTCTTTGTAATACAAAGATATTCCACGTTCATTTCATCTATTGTCTCAACATGATACCCATTTCGGCAGATATCTATAAAACTCAACAAGTTTTTTCGGGACTTGAAGGAGAACAATGAATTGTCAATAATAAGTTTTGTTCCCTTAGACAAAAATATAATGGCTCTTCCGGAGCCTTCAATCAAACTTATATTACCAGAAATTGTTGAAACATTTGCTTTTTCCTTATGCAAATAAGAAAAGTATTTCTGATCCTTGAATATGGCATGAGTTGTTCCACTATCAATTACACAAATATCTTCATGATTGGTCTTTGATCCAAACATAATTTGAGGATTATCCATAATTTTTAAAATGCATAAATAAAATATATTATAGTAAACATCATTATCAAAGCATAGCTTTTATTTATGTACAATAATTACATAACCATACTATCTATTACAAACAACCAAAATTAAAATATTTACATTTCTACAGATTCACTACCGATCACATGACTTGTTTCTCCTTCTGGGAGTGTAAAGTAATCAGTTACATCCAAGTGCATGAAGTCTAAATTATCTTCAGAAATAAAATTTGCTTCAGCATTTTTCTCTATCTTCTTCAGGGAGGCTTGATACAACTCAACCAGGTGCTTTGGCGTACGACATGTACGTGACTAGTGCCCTTTTTCCTCCACATTTATAACATGTATTTTCTGGCTTTGCTGCTTGTACCGCTTCATGATTTTGTTCCTTCCTTTTCCACTGCTGGTGGTGAGGAGGGTTCTTTGGTGCATTATTATTACCACGATTAGAGTTTTTTCCCCGACCACGGCCATGACCACGACTGGGACCACGTCCTCTTCCATACTTAGCTTGGTGGAAGTTCGTCTCATTCACTTCAGGGAATGGACAAGAACCAGTAGGTCGGCTTTCATGGTTTTTTTTATTAATAGCCCATTATGTTGCTCGGCTATAAGAAGATGTGAGATAAGTTCAGAATACTTTTTGAATCACATCTCTCGATATTGCTGATGCAGGAGCATATTCGAGGCATGAAAAGTGGTGAAAGTTTTCTCCAACATATCATGATCAGTAATATTATCACTACATAGTTTCAATTGGGAAATAATTCTGAACATAACAGAATTATACTCATTGATAGATTTAAAATCTCGTAGCCTTAGATGAGTCCAATCATAACGTGCATGTGGAAGAACGACCATCTTCAAGTGGTCATATCTATCTTTCAAATTATTCCACAGTATGACCGGATCTTTAACAGTAAGATATTCTATTTTCAGGCCCTCGTCAAGGTGATGACGTAGGAATATCATTGTTTTGGCACGGTCTTGGTTTAATGTCTGATTTTTATCTTTGATGGTGTCTCCCAGACCCATCGCATCAAGATGAATTTCGTCATCAAACACCCAAGACATGTAGCTTTTTAACGATATATCCAGGGCTACAAACTCAAATTTAGAAAGATTTGACATTATTTAGAAAAAGAAAGTTCGTACCTCTGATACTTTTAAAGTATTTTCTCGAGATTGCAGAGTCTCGTGTTGATAACGTATTATAAAATAAAAACTGTAAAGTAAATAAACCGAAGACAAGTATAGAGAGAGATTGATATATTATTCAAACTTCAAACTTATGTACATAATGAACTGAAAACTCCTCTATTTATAGAAGAAAGGAAGCAACTGCGAGGCTTTTCAGGAAGCAGCTGCAAGGCTTTTCTTTAGCTGCTTGTAAGTTGTCTGCATGAGCTGCTTGCAACCTGCCTGTTTAATAAGAAATTGCTACAAATCATTTTATTGAGCTGCTTGCAACCTGCCTGCATCAGCTGCTTGTAGATAAACTTCAACAGAGTATTAAATGGATAATCTTCTTCAGGAAAATTATCTATAGCGGAGTACTAAATGGATATCCACAATATAATTATTTTCATAACACTAACAACCTTTTTCCCTTTTCTTTTACAAGAACGGGTTTTAACTACTTTAAAAAAAAGCTTTAGTTTGAATAAGATTAAATGGATTCTTCATCAGATTTGTTATTCTCTTACTTTAATTTTAAATCGTGTCTCGTTGCCTTAATGGATAAAAATATCCTTTTTACATTATTTTTTATATAAATTTGTAGGTTATTTTGGTTAAAAGAACATAAATATAATTCTAACAAAATACTACATCCGGATAAAATAAACTTTTTATTGGAAATTTATTTAAGTTTTAAGTTTTCTTTTACTTTTTGACAAAGCAAAGAATAGTCTTCTAACTGAGATATTAAAATAATTAAAGAAAATATAGTTAAGTAAAATAATTTATTATTCCTATCATGTCAAGATCGTAACGAACTAATTTTCATATTCTTCAAAAGCTAAATACTTTTTTATAAATAGTTTTGTGTTGGATAAAATTATATTATTTAAAGCTTTAAAGTTAACTAAGAATAGAGTTCTTAAAGATTTATAATGAAATTTATAATAGAGATTTATTTAAATAAAGATGTAATTCAATGTTAAATAAAATTTCAGATATTATTCAATAATTAAGACTTTTAATTCAACTAAAAATCAACTAATACTTTTGAAAAACATATCAACTAAAAATTGTTATTTTCCTACAATTGTGACTGTAGGCATCGAAATTTTAACGGATCAAGCTAAATCCTAAATTAAAGATACTAGTTGCTGACAAAATATAATTGGATTGCAAAAATCCACGAGTCACAGCTCAGTCAAATCAAATCAGACTGTTCATCACAAACAAAAAATTCGTGCGTGTTCCTTTTGTGGTAAAAACGGCCATAGTACTAAACAATGTAGGAACAGAATTAGAGCAGAAAGATGCTCTGGTAACTCTAACAGTCCATCATATTTTTATTATGGTAAAAGAGGTCATACCTCAAATCGTTGTAGGTTCAAAGATAACCGGAGATGGGTTTGGAGACCTAAATCTTCAAATCAAACTAACACTTAGCATTCTAACAATTCAAGACCCAAGCAAGCTTGGGGTACCTAAAAATAAGTAATTTTGTTTTGCAGGAATACCGCAAGAAGAATCGAAAAGGAAAATGGTATCTCGACAGCGCGTGTTCCAGACATATGACTGGTGACAAATAATTGTTCAAATCAGTCACCAAACTAGATGGAGGAACAGTTACTTTTGGAGCCAAATCCAAAGGAAATGTAATTGGTGTTGGAAAAGTTCCTCTAAGCTCAACATGTGATATAGATGAAGTCTACCTGGTTGATGAACTTGGCTATAATCTTCTCAGCATTAGTCAACTATGTGACAATGACTATGAGGTTCGTTTTAAGAAACATGGTTGGTTTATAGAAGATGAATCAGGTAAAATCATTCTTTCAGGTAACAGAGACAGAAATTTCTATACTATCCGTAACTTAGAAAATCTTAGGGATCAAATTTGTCTTACTTCCATGATTGATGATCCCTGGGTTTGGCATAGAAAACTTGGTCATGCCAGCATGCATACTATTCAAAAACTTTCTAAACATGATCTTGTAATTGGACTTCCAAAACTAGATTTTTCAAAAGATCATATATGTGATGCATGTCAACTAGGAAAACAAACTTGTTCTTCTTTCAAAGTTAAAAACATTGTTTCCACCTCCAAACCTCTTCAATTATTGCATATGGATTTATTTGGTCCTACTGGAACTACTAGCATAGGTGGTAGGAAATATGCATTTGTCATTGTAGATGATTTCTCTAGATTTACCTGGGTTATGTTTCTAAGTCACAAAGATGATGCTTTGCAGAATTTTGAAGTTTTCTGTAAGAAGGTTCAACGCGATAAGGGATACTACATCTCTAATATCAGGAGTGATCATCGAGGAGAATTTGAAAGTAGAGCTTTTGAAAAAAAAATCAACGATCAAGGAATCTCTCACAACTTCTCTTCACCAAGATCACCACAGCAAAATGGAGTAGTAGAGCGTAAAAATAGAACTTTACAGGACATGGTAAGAACCATGATTGTGGAAAACTCTCTACCTCATCATTACTGGGCAGAAGCTGTGAGTACAGCATGCCACATCATCAACAGGTGTCTGATTCGACCAATTCTCAAAAAGACTCCTTATGAGCTGTGGAATGGTAAGAAACCAAATATCAGCTATTTTTACCCTTTTGGATGCAAATATTTTATCCACAATAATGGAAAGGACAATTTGGGTAAGTTTGATCCTAAGAGTGATGAAGGTATATTTTTTGGTTACTCTCCTTCAAGTAGAGCATATAGAGTCTACAATAAAAGAACTTTGTGCATTGAAGAATCTATTCATATTATTTTTATTGATACTAACCCTCGCCCAAGGAATGAACAAATTTCTGAAGATGAGGAAATTTCTTGTGTCCCAAAATCTATTATTGTAGGAAAGGATCATCAAAATGAGTCAGTTGTTCAACAGACTCAACCAGCTAAAGTACCCATAGAAGATCTCGAACTACTTCAAGCAGATCAGATGACTACTGAAGAAAGAAAACCTCCCTCAAATACTCCAAATGAATGGAAAAGTGAACCAGGATATCTTCACAAATTCATTATAGGAGATCCACAGGAAGGAATCACTACAAGAAGGTTCCAAAAGAACAAATCTCATGTAGCTCTTATTTCTCAATTTGAGCTAAAGAAAGTGGATGAAGCTCTCAAAGATACTCACTAGATAAGTGCTATGAAAGAGGAACTAGATCAATTTGAAAGAAATAAAGTATGGGAATTGGTTCCAAGACCTCCAAACTCCTCTATCATTGGAACTAAGTGGGTTTTCAGAAACAAATTGAATGAATCAGGTCAAGTGGTTTGAAATAAAGCAAGACTGGTTGCTCAAGGTTACTCTCAACAAGAAGGAATCGACTACGATGAAACCTTTGCGCCTGCAGCAAGACTTGAATCCATACGAATATTACTTGCTTTCGTTGCTCACAAAGGATTCAAGCTATTTCAAATGGATGTTAAAAGTGTGTTCCTAAATGGCTACATCTCTGAAGAAGTATATGTGAAGCAACCACCTAGATTTGCAAATGTCACCTTTCCTAATCATATATACAAGTTGACTAAAGCTTTATACGGGCTCAAACAAGCCCCTCGTGCATGGTATGAAAGGTATCAAGGGTTCAAAAGAGGTAATATCAATACAACTCTTTTTATTAAGCACTCCAGTTCAGGTAATCTTATTATTCAAATCTATGTAGATGATATTATTTTTGGCAGCTCTAACTCTGTTCTTTGTGAAGAATTTGCTCTTTCCATGAAAGAAGAATTTGAGATGAGTATGATGGGAGAACTGACTTTCTTTCTTGGTCTTCAAATCAAGCAGTCTACTAAGGGGATTTTCATTAGCCAAACCAAGCACACTAAGGAGATTTTCAAAAAGTTTGGCATGGAAAATGCTAAGTCAATTGGCACTCCAATGAGTCCAACTATAATGCTAGATGAAGACAGCAATGGAAAAAAGGTTGATAAAATCATGTATAGATTAATGATTGGATCTCTATTATATCTAACTACTAGTCGACCGGATATTATGTTTAGTGTGTGCAAATGTACAAAATTTCAGTCGGCTCCTAAGGAATCCCATCTTTCTGCTGTTAAACGGATTATTAGATACTTAATTGGTACCTCTGAGCTAGGATTAATGTATGATCGTTCTAACAATTTTTCTCTAAAAGGCTTTTCAGATGCAGATTTTGCAGGTGACAAGATTGATAGAAAGAGCACTAGTGGGACATGTCAATTTCTAGGAAATGCCTTAGTATCTTGGCATAGCAAGAAACAAAATTGTGTTGTACTATCCATAACTGAGGCAGAATACTTAGCCGTTGGAAGCTGTTGCACACAAATTCTATGGATTATGCATCAACTTCTCGACTATGATTTATCTCTTACATCTACTCTTATATTCTATGATAATACTAGTGCTATCTGTTTATCAAAAAAATTTGTGCATCATTCTAGAGCAAAGCATATAGAAATTAAACCTCATTTTATCCGTGATCATGTTGCAAAAGGTGAAATTGTTTTAGGATTTATTAGTACTGATTCTCAACTTGCTGATATTTTTACAAAACCACTTTTGGAAGAAAGATTTTGTCTACTCCGAAAAAGGATTGTCATTGTGCCAAATTTGTAAATCAATTATTTTACCATACTTTTAAATATTTTACCTTGTTCTAAAATATTTTATTTTCTTTATTATGCGTGGCTTTATTAATTTTGTGTGTAAGTGTAATTATTGCCTCTTCTCAGTACACGCCGATCAATAACTTCAGAAGCATCACTTTCTTCTGAACCTGCCATTTCCTTTAACCAAGACGTCCCTTCGTTCCTCCCAAAAGTATCTATAAAACCCTTCCTTCTCCAGTACTCTCCCCATTCTCTTCAAAGCAATCCTTCACACCATGGAGAAAAGAAATCCCTCCTCTTCAGCTGCAACCAGACGCAATCGAAGATTTCAAAAACCCCTTAACACTGAAGAACCTGTGGATGTGGAGTCGTCTATTGACTCAGATTTCCTCAGAATAGACAATGAAAGCAGTGAATCTTCTGAAAATCCTCCCATTAGTCAGAAAAAGGCCGGCAAAAGACCAATGGAGCAAACCCCCCCAAAAGGCTGCATGCAAGAAAGGTAAAGTGGAGAACATGGAATTTGGTCCTGAGGATAAGTTAATCTTCTATGGTCCCAGTGAAAAAGCAAGGTTTGAGTCCTACAAGTCAAAATCTATGGCTTATTGACGCTTTGTAAGTCTCTCTCTCATGAAAAATCTTCACTGTGATGTGACTGCTATTTTCTATATTCAGCACCTTTCCTCTCTGTTTGATACCATTGGAAACTATGTTTATGAAGAACCAGTAAGGATGTTTTACGCAAATCTTTTTGTGAATGATAAAGATGACTTGGAATCTATGGTTTTAGGTACCAGAATTGTTTTGGACTCTTATCAATTTGAAAAGATTTTCTCTGCTAAGTTTAGTGGGTTTGATGTGTTTGTACAAAATTCGTGGCCCAAAGAACTTTGAAGTTTCCTTTGATGAAGCAAAAACCTTTTTGTCTGATAATCCTCCTGACATTAGTCCCAAGAATCTTAAGTTTGAACATCGTGCCTTGGCCTATATGATTGCTACTACTCTCCTCCCCAGAACTGGGTCCCTTAGCTCTTTGTCCATTAGAGATATTTTTATCCTTTACTGTCTGGTTAACAATAAAAGACTTGATTGGTTTGTGTGGATTCGTCAATACATGCTTGAAAGCATCAGGGATATATCTTCTTCTGCTGCATGTTTGCCCTTTGGTCTTCTTATCTCACATGTTCTAGAGGTCATGAGGTCAAAGTTAAAAGTATTCCAGTGCTAGTTGAAGTTCAAACTGAACAACCAATATCTCAGTCGACTGCCTCTCAAAATTATCAGAAAATTCAGCATTATCTAGATGCGGTAAAATTGCTACTAGTTGAGATGAAGGAAAAGGTAGACAAAATCAGGAAAGTTACCAAGGAGACAGGTACATATGTGGCTAAACTCAGGATGAATATGGGAGCCACATGGAGGCAAGGAACCAGGGCTTTCAATTCCATGAGTGAACAAATGGACAAACTTGTCAAAGATGTTGAAAATTCCTATGACTCCTTCTGCACCAAAATAATCAACACTCTCAAGTACTTCCTGGGAAGAAGTTAATGAGACTCTATGTGATGGTGTTACAAACAATTCTTTTTGCTTTTTGCTTATGCTTGCTTGTTGGTTTGTTTTAAAACAATCGTTTGCTTGGGTTTGAACTAGCTAAGCCTCTGCTGAAGGCACTACTTTTGCTGCTCTAATCTCCTAACTAGTATGTATATTATTTCATATATTATTTTTTCTGTGTGTTTTTCTTTCCTTTTTGATTGATGTCAAAGGGGAAGAAATATATAGAGAAGTAAACACCTCAGCAGGAGAAACTCAGCACATCATGAGACAATATTTATTCAATTATTTAGGGGGAGCAACATATAAAAAAAAGGAAAATCTCATAGTTTATGTTTACTTTATGTTTACTCTCTCTTGATTGTCATCATCAAAAAGGAGGAGATTGTTAAGTTTTAAAGTTTCAATGATGACAATTCCATCTTAAGTTAGTTTGCAGGATTGCAGGATTCGAAACAAGCAAAAAGGAAAGAATGAGATGCTATCCAAAGATATAATTGCTAAATTAATGGACAAGAAAAAGGGACTTCATTGCAACACATTTATTAGACCACAATCAAAGGAGTTCAGATTGCTAATCAAGGAAGCCTTCGCCAGCAAATATTCTGTATCCAAAATTAAGCTCTCAATCAAGGCTTGAATAACTTCTCAATACAAGCATGTGACAAGGAAAGTCACGATCGAATCTGGGCTCTCCCAAGAGCAGGATTCGAAAAGGCACCCCTTGGGTCAAATCCCTTTGATGATCTTGTGCCTCTAATTTCGGTCAAGACTCAACGACCCTTTTCTCTCCTATAAGAAGACTGCTAAGATCAAATGGAAGGCTTGCGCAACTACACACATTGTCTTCTAAGTCTCTCTACTTCTTAGCCTAAACACTGTAATCCTTAGTTTACGAGTGTCTCAAAAAGATAGGAAGAATTAGAATACAAAAGAGAGTTGTGTCAAACATTCAGAATTCACTGTTGCCATTTTTTGTTGGTGGAGAACGAGTCAAAACCATATGTATTGTAATACTTTCAAGATCTAAAGGGAACCCTTGTGACCCAAGAGAAACTGGATGTAAGTACCACAACGGTACCGAACCAGTATAAAATTGTTGTGTGTTATTTACTTTTAAATTATTGTTATCTTTCATTCTGCACTGTGTTTAGTCAACTAAAATCATTGTTAGTCGACTAATTTTCAATAAACCACAATTCACCCCCTCCCCCCTCCCTCTTGTAATTTCAATTGGTATCCGAGCAAGGCTCACAATCTTTGCTTAACAGCTTGTGAGAAAATGATCATGGGATCTAACACTGTTGTTGGTGCTCTATTTCAAGAAGGAACCTCTCAGGTTCGACCTCCTTATTTCAGTGGTCAGCACTTTTTTCATTGGAAAGTGCGCATGGAAACTTACACAATGTCATATGACATCAAAGTTTGGCGTGTGATCAAAAAGGAAAATCTTCCAATCCCTCCTAAGAAGGATGCAAATGGTCAAGTCATTGTATCAACTGATCCTCTAGACTTGGATGATTACACTGATGAATAATAGACTAAATATAAATATAAAAATTTCGGACTTTCGAATATCCAAAAAACTGAAGTACCAAATCCAATATCCAAAAATTTAAAAATTAAATACAAAATCCAATCCATAATCCGAAAATCCAAATAAAAAATTGAACAATTCAAATCTCGGTTTGGATTTCGGGTTTGGCAAAACTACGCCCATTCTTGCTAATGACAAACCGATCTGTAAACAATAAAGATTATCACGAGTACACATGCCACGTGATTTTCTCAATAGTTCACACAAAAAAAATAGGAAAGAAAAGTGTCTCGTTGAATGAAAGAGCGGAAGGATTTTGTTAAGTTCAGATTGGTTGTGGTATTTATTGTATATGTCTTTGACAATTCTTTTCTCGTGAGCAAAGTTTTGAAATTGAGTTAAGTTCAATGTTTATTTTTCATAAATTTAAATTGTATTCATTAAATGTGTAAATGATTTTAATATTTTGTGTATTTAAATGTATAGGAACAGTTTATTTACCTTATTTTTCTGGTTATCACTCTCAATTTTTATGTAGGAAAAAGATCTCCATTATCGGTAATTATCTTTAAAACTATTAAATGCATGAAACGTAAACATGAAGCTTCTGATCTTCCTGACTTTTATCTGTTTTGCTGTAGGGACATGAAGAATTACTGTGCCATCGTATCAACACATTTGCATATATATATATATATATATATATATATCAGTTTAAACTAAAAAGAGTCGAGTTGAGAATAATCATGAAGAGAGAGAGAGGTGATGATCAATTAATAAATTAAGTTGGTTAACGATCTGTAAGATTATCTTTTCCTTTCTGTAAAAGAAAAGTAAGCATAGACGTATGAAAACAACAGCAAACCTGCCCGATTTTCTTTAGGTTCTGTTAAAAAGCCACTACTACCCCTGCTGCCAAAGCAAAAGACCTCTTTTCTCTCATTCAGCATGGGTAGGTAGCCTTGTAAATTCCTCCTTGAAATTCAAAAGCTGCAACTGATATAGAAAAAGTACCAAGTAACTTGTATAGTATGGCCAGTCTGGAGAAAGAAGATCACCAACCCAGATGATTTTCTCTCTAAATATTTCATCAGTTCTACCCATGTGTCTACATTTTCTCTGAGCCACAAAGTAGCATTCTTCTTTCTTAACTTGTACTAATTTGTACGTACTTGTTTCTTTGTCTGCTGGAAAAATCCGCCAACATGTCCGCCAAATCCAAGTAAGTTCCGATATGGATATTGATCCTAAATCGTGTAACTGTCAGTAACGATGTGTTCTCTTTTTCATATTGTTGTGATCTTCGGATATCTGGTTTACCTAATTGTTGCATATTTTGAACTTGTACCAGATCAACTCCGAGCAATTCAACACCATCAACTCCTCGGATGAGTAGAGTGAGCAGGGGAATAGCTAAATCTGATGCTCATTCACCCTCTCCCTTTCAAAATTCACGTAATAGGTACTTTCTTTCCTCTACTTATTATTTAAGTGAAAACTTAAATGTAAACTCCTCCTTGCAATTACAAAGCTGAAACGCAAGTGCTAACTGCTTTAGTATGGCCACTCTGGAGCCAGAAGATCACCAACCCAAATGATTTTCTCTGTAAATTCATCCCTTAATTCAATCAGTTCTATCCATCTGCTGTTTACTGATGTTATTCTACTACTGCTAATACTATAGTACCAATATTGTGATATCTTGACATAGTCTCATAAGCTTTTTGTTGATAAAGTAGCATTCTTGTTTATTAAGTTGTAATTGGTACTTCTTTCTCGTCTCCTGGAATATTCCGCCTTCCACCACCAACATGTCCACCAAATCCAAGTAAGTTCTGATGGATGTGACATGGGTTCTTTTTCTTTGATCCTAAACTGTGGGTGGTTCTGTACTTTTAATTGCTTTTGAGGTA